CTCACGGGATCAATCGATGTGAAACGCGAGACGATCCTTTTGTTGGAAGGGCTGTGTAGAATAGAACGGCAAATATTTACTGTTTAGCAAAATCCATTCAACCGTACTTCGTCATGGCATAAGTACGTTAATTTGACAGAGTCCCACTTTGCGAGACATGGAACATGATTAATGCAGTCTAATCTGCACTGTAATCCATTAAAAAACCTCTGTTTCTTTCCTGGAAGCGTCATCAATTAGGATAGGAGATCGTATTCGTTAGCAGTGCACTGCATCTGGTACTACTGAAGATCAGCTATGACCCACGAAACGGTAAGTTATCGAAACGGATGGCCTCTAATGGCAGAGCATCTTATGCGATTAGGTTGGAAAATACATTATTGAAAGATGGATGTCTCGAACTGAGGCAGAAACGCAATTAGTCAATCATTCTAATTTATTGCTCGATGATGCTTAATGGAAGTTCCATTGTATCACCGTTCTACTGAACAGTACATTACACTAACTGGGCGTGAGGTTTAAGCAGACTACTTCGTCAGTGAAACTTTGTTTTTTCATCATTGGCTACCTGTTGACACTCTGATCGATTTTTATTGTTTTGAATTTCAAGGTTTGGAGGCATGGCCATCGCACGCCAACGTCCTTTATTCCGACCGACGTGATTAATAATGGCCCTAATACCTGGCCGTATGGACCTGGCGAACTGACAAAGGTAACGTTACTGAAAAGTTGTTTTTTTGCTTGAAACGGCGTTGTTTTCTAGCTGGGCATGACACAGCACTTCCGGTTAGGGAAAATGATCGCCGACAGATATGTAAAGGAATACGGTCTTCTCGACTTGAACTACAGCAATCACATGGTAGTACAGCTCATTCTTGCCTCATGAATATTTGTAAAATCACGTTGTTTTATAGCTTTACATACACAGCGACGATTACAACCGTACCTTGAGTAGCGCCTATGGAAACCTGGCAGGATTCTTTATTAATACATCGTACTACAGTCCAAAGTATGAAAACTGGCCAAATTTCTGGAACCCGATTCCAGTACATACGATAGACAAATTCAGAGACTCGGTAAATTGCTAGAATTTTATAGTACTGTTCTAACTGCGTAGTAGATAAATCCGACAGCGTTCGTTATCAGCCTATCTCAATTTACTGGAGATGTAACCTTTGTCCAAAAATCTCTGCTGAACCAGCATCACCAGAAACCTGCAAATACAACGGTTTCAATTCGTATTCAGTTTCCAGTTTTCGCGATCTCCTGCGATTGAATCCTCAGTAATAATCAAGACTGATACTGCATCAGCACTCAATTGATATAGTAGTGATACGTACAAGGAAGTGATACGATAAGGACACAATGACAGTTGTATAATCACTTCCTAAGAACACACGGCAGTAGGGCAGTGGTAGTCATACTGTAGCACCAACACGTTGTATAACAACACAGCGTAATGATGGAGTGGTGGTGGTACGGTAGTGCCACGACGGTGAAATGGTAGTAATGAGGTAATGGTAAATGCCTCAGCACTGTTTATTTAGAAACAAGAGCTCTTCTTCTCCAGAACTGATATCATTACTTAACAATTTATATGGCACATGACTGCTTCACTCTAGAACTTACATCGTAGTTCATAATCGCCCAGAATTTCTTGTTCTGATTTTGTGTTTTCCTCTGACTTTAAATTCAATATCATGATTCATGATCTCCATATTCATATTCTGACGCATTTTGTATGAAACTTTCTACCAGCATAGCAGACCAGTGATAACGTACTACTGTTCGATCAGCTGGTTAGGTCCTTCTTCAGCAGATGGAAGGTATAAAACAGCTGCTTTAATCACAATCCAAAGCCCTACGGAACTCATCTTCTGTACTGATTCCCAAAGACAGATTGACGCAGTTCATTCATCATGGCGACACCTTCTGGATAAATCTGAATAACCTACGTTTATGCAAGAATCTGCTCATAAAAAATTTGCTTCGCTTCCACTACCCATCTGAAAACTTCTTGTAATTCGGCGACCAGCGAAACTTTGATGAAATGGCAGAATGATGCCCCATTTTGAACGTTAAATTTTAAAATGTTAATGATATTTAGAAATCGATAAATCCCCTGTATTCTTTTGCGGTAAATTTCCTGACAGGAGAATATTTCTGTGCTTTAAATCTCCACCTCCACTTTATAGCAAATATCACCGCCGCTGTTCATTGTAAAGTACATAATTCACTCATTTCTGTTACGTATTCGATTGAGGATAAAATTTTGCAAATTGCATTACAAGAACAACTCAGTGAACTTTTCTGTTTCTCTGCTCTTCGAATATGAGATTAATTTTATGCTTTATGTTACTAGATGCTTTGGTTGACCGCACCGTGTAAAACTGCAGACGAGATAATTATTAAGGAAGTGAAAACGTTGCCAAATTACACGGAAATAATGAAGAAGAATGAGGTATGTATCAACTATCGTTTAGAACAGTTTGAACCGAGAAGCGATTCATCGCCAGGACATTTGCTTCATTGGAGTTCCAGAGATTCAGTTCAAGCTACAGATACAATAATGTTAAAACCACAACGTGCTGCAATATACACAGTTCATCATTTATCATGTATATTGGTCTGTGAATGGTTTAAGTATCATTAAGTCACTCACTTGTTCTATTCTAATTCTTCCTATGGAGCAGTGACGAACTGCTCAGTCCCAGTACTCAATAAAAGGCAATACTGGTGGAATAAAGGTACAGGGATGCAAATGTGTACACCAAACACAGTAGATAGAATACACATGCAGAAATGTTTCACAGTAATCTAATATGACTGCGAGCATATCAAGATAGTTTCTTTCTTCTATAAGCAAATCAATGACGACCTGAATTACACAACAATCCTCGAACTTCCGCCTGACATGCAATCAAGCCAAACCAATACATCGTTTCGATTGAAAATGAATAGTTATTTGTCAGGTCATCAAACGGAGGGTGCATTCAGTCGTTTGAAATGACAGTGTTCTGCAAACGAGCATTGGACATGTATGATATTTTAAATATGGACTCCAGGAACTAAATTGACTATGGGGACCACTATTAAGTGAATTTTCTGGCCTCATCCATCGGGCGCTTATTGGGTTTGAAATGTGCAGTGATTCTGAATGCTATACGCAGCTTCTGATTTTAATAAGTGTAAGAAGTCATCGATGAAGGCACGTTTCCCAGCAGAATGTGCACCCAACGCAGTATACAGATAAGTATTGACCCCAAACTTAAGTTAGCCAGCATAGTTCTGGAAATGTTTTGCTCTTACCTGTACATATAATACATTTAGGCCTTCAACCAATGTAAAAATGCATACGTTAATATGATACATGTACTAATTATAGGTACTTAAACACGTTGTGACCCTGAGTTGAACCATTTGAATTCTATCACTTGATTTTGTAGGCTGTTAAAAAATGAGAGCATGCTATTCTTCTCTAAGGTTGGTAAATGCGTTTCATTACGGGAGCAAAATCAGAAGTCTACGCTGTACATTTATCACTGTACCGTGAATATCGCCTTCAGGGGAACCTTTAAAATTAGTATCATTTAGAGATTAACGGCGCTTTCTGGATTCAGTGAAAGCAGGATGCTTCAAATTGCGCCTTCTGTAGAAGTCTCTAAATGCAACCGGCATCACAACGGTTCTAGGCACTTGTTTGTTAAAGTTTGTTGAGTCAGACGTATTTTTTTTTATTTTGTCCTACCTCGTGTGCTTCCACTATTTGTCTAAACATGTAGGCGATATTCAATCATTTTCATGGCCAGCTGTTCGTTTCGCCTCCAACCGGGTTATCTTAGTTTTTACATGGTTTAAAATTGTTTAAAATGGTACAAGCCTGGTTTTCCCACAAATTGAGCAAGCTCCGTGAACTAGATTTCAAGATATGACAATATCACTTGATCGTTTTTCTCAAATCCTCTGTTTGTCCTTTGTCCTAGATCTGCATTTCAAATTCTGCTATCTGGTCTTGCAACGCCAGACCACCCACATCGGCTTGGCGTAGGCATATCTGACAAAGTTAAAGAAATTTCATGAAGTACATGAAAAGAAAGCTCACCGAACCATCCTGGCGGCGAGTCGGTCATGGCAAACTGTTCTGTGTGGTGTGCTTCTGACGTATTATTGTTACTCAGGCTTTTTTCGCATTGGTTAACGAGAAAACGGGTCTGAAACCACCGGTAGACCTGAACTCTGTGTGGAAAGTTTACGACCCAGTAGCCATCGAGGTATCGCTTTCGGCCGCTATTCAGCCTATTGACTTCATTACTGCCTTAGAGAGAGGGTGATCCGATGGACTGGCCAAGCAACGCTCACTTGCCTCCATCTTGGGTCACGAACGATGTCTACGACAAGCTTCATGAATTGTACCAGAAAGCCACCGAGTTTCTTTACCGCAACCCGAAGCTGACGCAGCTGAGAGCCGGTAGCCGGCTTCGGCAAGCAAGTGTTGGAAAAATCTTAGTCTGGTATTTCTTTTATAGGCCAGCTGGTGCAAGCGATCAACAACCGCATGCTTGTCAAGATAGAAAGCATGGCCAAACCTCCTTCGCCGCAACGACAGTGGATTCAAAGACTGAAACTGTTCGGATATTCTGCCGTGAGTAGTTACAGGCTTATCCGCTTGCGATTGGTCAGTAGTACGCATTTCAGCATGATCTGACCATCGTCGCTTATCTGGAGGCGCTTGGAACGCTGGTGAACACGACCGGTGGAAATATGCCCGGTTACGCTAGCTGCATCCTAGTGGAGCTGTGGAAACGCCAGAAGCAGCACTATGTCAAGGTACGTTGCATCGCCAAGCAATCCTGACCGATTAAGATGCCAAGCGTTCTGACCAATGCAGGTTCTTTACCGTGATGGCCCTGAAGGAACAGTTTTCCGACCTGTACACGTCCGAGGTTGTTCCGTGACCAACGCTTCTAGCAGTGGATGTCCGATTGAGCAGTTCATTCACTCGACGAAACCTTTCTACATCGATGACTGGTACAAGGCCTGCGGATATGGTGCTTCGCTCGCCGACAGGGCTTCCATTGGTAAACATCAATTTGGCTGTTTCATATTTAATACAGCATACTCTAGGAACGGTTGCCCTCTTCGCTATGATAAGCGTGCTTCGAAGTTTAGTTCTAAGTTAGCCGTTATCATCGACACCGCATCGCCGCGTCACGTTCAGCCATATTTCTCTGTGGGGAATCAATGAGCAGCGGAAGTGACAGAGGTCACGTATCGCCGCCATGAATAGACATTTTATTTATAAAAAGTGCTGTTCATAATATTCATAAATCGAAAATGAATATAATTTGAATTGCAAAATTACTTGGTGTTATCAGAAACACTCTATCGAAAACGAATATTTTGCTTGACTTTTGAGCTGCAGACAATACAACTTCATTGACAGGGACAAGTTCGAGTAACCTACCGTCTTTTACAAGAATACGATTATTTGACTCGCAGATTTAAGCCGTATCTACAGAAAAATGCTCACAAATTGAAGTTTCAATATAATACAAGTCAGATGCTTTGTTCATTGCCGTCAAAAGTTATACCCTTCATCGACTGTATTAACTTCACTACAACAACCACCTGTTGTTCTCGCTTGATGATGATCATTTAGAGCGCATGCGTTTATTTATCTACGCCATATTGTTAGATACTTTGATCATTTTCTTCAAGCAATTAACTTAATTGACCTATTTACTTGCTTACTTACTTACACACTTATCTATTTGTATGCCTACCTACCTACTTGATAAATCAATGATTAAAATATGCATGGTTGGAGAAGGCTCCAACTCCGCCATGGCCGGTCCCAAGCCCGGATGAGAAAGGAGGAGGGTTGGAGACCGTGGCAAGTCT